ATATATATACACTATATATATATATATATATATATATATATATATATATATATATATATATATATATATAAACTTATGTATATATATATATATATATATATATGTATGTATATGTGTATATGCAGCATCTATAACCGCCGCCGACGCAGCGATTCGTTCTTTGCATAACAACCGAGTGCTGGAGTCATCGATGGGCCCCATCACGGTTAAGTACGCCACAGGAGAGGCAGAGAGACTAGGGCTAAACCCACAGGTAAATACTTATATATACAGCTAGCTAGCTAGATAGCTAGCTAGCTAGCTAGATAGAGAGATAGATAGAGAGGGAGATAGAGAGAGAGGTGGAGAGGGAAGGAGGGAGGTGTATGGGTAGGTTGTTATGTAGTTATCTACAGTTTTGTTTTTTTTTTGGGGTTTAGGGTTTTGTTGAGGGTTTAGGGTTTTGAGGGTTTAGGGTTTAGGGTTTAGGGTTTTGTGTGCAGGCGTGTGAGCCGGGTATCCCCCAAGCGAAGCTGTTTGTGGGTAGTTTACCGAGAACCCTAAAAGAGGACGAATTGAGGACTTTCTTTTTAAACTATGGAGCGGTTCGTCTCTCGAGGGTTTAGGGTTTAGGGTTTAGGGTTTAGGGTTTAGGGTTTGTTGAGGGTTTAGGGTTTAAGTTGTGGATCATTTTAACGCCAAAAAAACGGGAAAAAAAGCCCAACTAAAAAAAAAAAGAATAAATAAATAAACAAATAAACAAACAAATAAACAAATAAAATTTATGCGTTTGTTTGTTTGTTTGTTTGTTTGTTTGTGTGTGTTTAGGTAGAAGAGGTGTTTGTGATGAAGGATAGTTCAACAGGCCAGGGCCGTGGTTGTGCGTTTGTAAAGATGGCTCAAAAAGAGGAAGCATTCTTCGCTATAAACAGCCTAAACGGGAAACATATATGGTCGGGGTGTACGCGGCCAATGGAGGTTAGGTTTGCTGAAAGTAAAGCACAAAGACAACAAATGCGTGAGCTCTTGTCTTTGTCTTTTTATTTTTTTTTTTCCGGCTTCTTTACTCCAAAAAAAAACGAAAAAAAATGATGACGTTGGGGTGTATAGGCACCTTCGCTCTGCTGCGGTGTATAGGCAGCTCGGTGTACAGCATAGAGACAGTAGATGCACGAGTTTTTATTTATTTTTTTATTTATTTTATTTATTTATTTATTTTAATTAATTAATTTATAATAAATAAATAAAAAAAGAGGAAAATAAAATATATTTATTTAGGTGTATGCACAGCCTAACATGGAGTACAGCAGTGACACGTCGCACCCTGTCTC